AAGTGTGTTTTTCTAGGATACCCCGAGGGTGTTAAGGGTTATAGGTTATGGGATAGAAGCCAAAAAGGGGTTAAAATCATCATAAGTAGAGATGTCACGTTTAACGAAAATGAGATGCCGTGTATTAAAGGGAAAACTGAACCTGAGAGTGAATTAGAATTAGGTGAAGAGAGAGACCAGTTTAAGGTGGAGTTAGGAAAATTCATTCCACCTGCCCCTACTATTTCAAATGAGGTGGAGACTCAAACTCAGGAACCCGAAGTGGAGAATAGTAAAGAAATAGTGACAGAAGAACACTATGAGAAAGAAAATCATTTAGCTAACTATAACTTAGTTAGGGATAGAGAGAGGAGACAGACGAGAGGACCTAAAAGGTTTGGTTTTGAATCTGAATTAGCTTTTGCCCAGGCTAGTTATGAAGAACTAGCTAATAAAGAGCCAAAGACTTTTGAAGAAGCAATAGGCAGTGATCAATCTAATGAATGGCTTAAGGCAATGAAAGAAGAGATGAGTTCTCTAGAAAAGAATCATACTTGGGAGCTAGTACCTAAGCCTAAGAATAAATCAATTGTTGATTGCAAATGGGTTTTTAAGGTTAAGGAAGGAACTAGCAGCTTGGAACCCGTAAGGTTTAAAGCTAGGTTAGTGGCTAAAGGCTACACACAGAAGGAGGGCATTGATTATAATGAAATTTTCTCACCAGTTGTTAAGTTGACCACTATTAGGGTCATGCTCGCATTAGTTGCACAATTTGATTGGGAACTTGAACAACTTGACGTAAAAACTGATTTCTTACATGGTGAGCTTGATGAACAAATTTTCATGAATCAACCTAAAGGTTTTAAAGATAAGTTAAAACCTGATTATGTGTGTTTTCTGAGAAGATCCTTGTATGGGTTAAAACAATCTCCTAGACAGTGGTACAAGATGTTTGATTCCTTTGTACTCACTATAGGGTTCCAAAGAAGTAAATTTGATCACTGCCTGTATTTTCAACACAATGAGACTGATGATAATTATCTGTTTTTGTTGCTCTATGTGGACGACATGCTTTTGATTGGATCATCTTCTAAGTGGATAAATAACATAAAAGCAAAACTAAGTGGTGAATTTGACATGAAAGACCTAGGTAAGGCTAAGAGAATCTTAGGTATTGAAATCAAAAGAGATAGGTCAAATTCTATTTTGCTTTTGCATCAGTCTCCATACATATCCAAAGTATTGAAGAAGTTCAATATGAGTGAATGCAAACCTGTCATGTTGCCTCTTGCTAATCATTTTGTTTTATCAAAGGAACAATCTCCTTGCAATGAGCGTGAAGTTGAATACATGAGTAGAGTGCCTTACTCAAATGTGATTGGTTCCATAATGTATTTGATTGTTTGCACTAGACCCGATTTAGGTTTTGCTGTTAGTACTCTCAGTAGATATATGGCTAATCCGGGACCTGAACATTGGGAAGCGCTAAAGTGGCTGTTAAAGTACTTGAAGGGTACTAGTAACGTAGGCTTAAAGTTTAGTGCTAATAAAGAAGATATAAAATTAAAAGGTTTTGTAGATGCTGACTATGCGGGAGATAGGGATGGTAGGAAATCTACTTCATCTTACGTGTTTACCTTATCTAATTCATGTGTAAGTTGGAAATCACAGTTACAACATATTGTTGCACTATCCACTACAGAATCAGAATATATTGCTATCACTGAAGCTATTAAAGAAGCTCTATGGCTTAGATGTCTACTTCATGAACTGTGTGTCCTGAATGATTATGTGGTAGTGTATTCTGATAGTGAGTCATCTATACATTTATGCAAAAACCCTATTTTTCACGAGCGCACTAAACACATTGATGTTAGACTCCACTTCATTAGAGATATAGTATCTCAAGAGGTGGTAAGACTTGAGAAAGTCCATACCCACTACAACCCATCTGATATGGGGACGAAGGTACTGCCACTGGCAAAGTTTAGGAGTTGTAAGGAACTTCTAAACATTGGTCCAGGTAAATGATTTCCAATTTTATTGTTTTTCTATTAAAGATGTTATTAATGGGAGACAATTTTCTTTGTAGGTCCTTTGACACCAAGGTGGAGGTTGTTAGGCAATTTGTTGTCAAACGACCTCCCCGGGCGATGATGTAACCTCGGTTGTTTATTATCAATCGGCCTCGACCATATGATTGATTAGTACATCGATACAATTATCGAGACAACACAATCCACATTTTTATGGACAGTTCAAAGCAACCTATTTTATTTAGTGTTGCTCACGGTTCTCGCTCCATTCCTTGGAAGGCTACATTATTATTGTTGAAGCCCACTTAATTGAGTCGAGCCTTGTTTTTGGTCCACCACTTAACCCTAACCTAACTTACCTATTTGGACATTTTACTTGGCATATAATCCCTCCCTTGCTCTCGACCTCCATAGTGTGTGCCAATTTCTCCTCTCTTTGTGAGACTCCCTCTCGGCCTCTCCCTCTCCCTCACTGTGACCTTTGTGGGCACATTATTGGACTTCTCCTTCTCCAATTGGTAGCAACCGGAGTGGGCGGCGGCAAGTGGTGGAGTTGGAGTTGTCTCAATCATGATAGTGTTGATGTTTTGGTAAACTGAGCCCGATATTGCACGTGGTGGCGGTGGAAATCAACCCTACAGGATGAAAGCATTTTTCTCTTGGAAAACACCTTTTTTAATATTCTATTTGTCAATTATATGACCTAGTTTAATAGACATATTGAATTCCAATATAGATGGTCTCTTGTAGAAATAGACATATTTTCTTTCTTAATTTTATACCGTATCATGATAAACATGTCTTTATATATATTATAATTGTTAGGAAATACTGAAATTAACTAAACAAGAAAAATAAGTTCAAACCTCGCAAAAAACAAAAGAAAAGAAAATGCAATATGATGATAAAAGGATTGAAATGACCTCTGAGAAAACACATACCATGAAGACCAATACAAAAGCTAACATAAAGGAAATAAAATATCACATTTTATATTGCATCATTATTTTTGAATTGGCGAAAATTATCCTCAAATCTTGTATCACATCTTTAACAGACACATGGTAAAAGTTATTGGTTTTTGTGCCCATCGATTATATTTTCTTACGATAAAATAATAATTTATAATAAATAAATTTGGTTTTATTTATTTTATCTATTTATAATTGAGCAGGCGAATTAAAGTGCATATGATTACTTGCAATAATATAAATTGGGTACTTAAGTTGAAAAATACAGTGTGACATAACTTATATTTTCATCGTAAATAATTGTTCACAGTCCATATATGAGGGTTGACACCTTGTACTAGAAGGTTATAGCATTGGCCCATTCACTATTCGAATTTGTGATTTATCCTTATCGCAAGAAATAGTTAAAGGTAATGCTAGTACCCTTGGAGTGTATTGGGCAGATCACGTGTCGAGTTTGATAGCATGATCGTGCAGATAATTAAATTCCACTTATCATCGTGTATTTCATTTAAATCATTGACATAGTTATTGTATCTTTTCATGACATATTAAGTTCTTTGATTTGCAAATAGGTGAGATCAATTTAATTGGTCAAATATTTCAATGAGTTGGGAGTTTGAAAATAAACGAAGTAGAGAATATGGTATTATATTAAATTTTAACTAATTCTCCTTTCTCCTTTTTTTCCCCTCTTTCTTACATCAATTTGCAAATAATTATATACAAATAGCGTTACTCTTATTAGTACGACACTAGTGCATGGTTGATGGTTGTCCTTGAACTGGACAAGTAAACAATCTATTCCAGAATAGAAAAGTGAAAAAAAAAAAATTATAAAAACATACTCACAAAAACGTAAATTGTGCATAATAATTCTACATTATGACTTGACAAAAATAATTACAAAATAAAAAAAAATAAAAAATGTTGAGCATAGAAGACAAAAAACACAATCAAGGTCAAAAACCCACACCCCATCAAACAGCACGCAAAACCAACAGCAAAAGGTCAGCTCACGTCTCACTATTCATTTAGCATTATTCAACCCCACTCTCTCTATAATGGCCGCCAAGAAGAAGAGTAAAGCTACTTCACTCATCTTCTCCTCTCCCTATTTCTGACCTCTTACTTCTTCTCTTATATTTCAATTGCTTTGTCTATCTTGATTTTCATGCTTTCTTGAAGAAAAAATTATTATTTTCTACTTCTTTTGCTCTTTTAAGAAAACCCATTTCAAAGAACTGCCCTTGTTTTGATCTTACTCATTTTCTTGAGAAGGGCTGTTTGTTCTCTTTGAAAAAAGAATAATTACAAGATAGTAGCATTTTTTTTTTTGGATTTTCTTGAAAATCTTCGTTTTGGGTTTTTGGTGTGAGAGAGTTATAAATGGGGAGTAAATGGAGGAAAGTAAAGCTTGCACTTGGTTTGAATCTGTGCGTGTATACACCAAGAAATAATATAGCTGATAATGATGAGGAGGATGGATCTTTGCCGCCGTCTTCTTATCGGCACTCAGACGCTGCTCTCCTGTCGCCGGTGGCGGACTGGACCTCAGCTCCACCGACTCCAGGGTCAAATAGGCTGAAGTTATCCAAGAGCTTGAGTAGATCTTCTTCCAAGGTCTATTTGTTTGTTGAGCTTCATTTATTTATTGATTTTTTTGATATTTCATATTATAGGTTTCTATGTTTTTAGAGACTTTTTTTTTTTTTTATGTTGATTACTGTTAGTTGTGTTTGATTACTAATAGATGGAGGTGGATGATGAAGTTTGTTAGGAACTTCTGGATTTTTATAGATGCATTGAATGGAAGGGTTTAAGCATTGGATGTGTAAGAACTAGAGTAATCTGGTTAGATAAAACGTTTGAGTCCCTTGAAGGCTAAATCCAATACCTTTCTTTGGTGGAAAATACTGATAAATCAGTTAATTTGAGTCTTGTGTGTTTATTCACTATATTACGGATGCTGGAAAAACATGAATGCTAAAGATTATTTTGGTGTCTGATATGTTTGTTAGAGGATATAATAGCAGCGGAATATAATCTGAGCCTTTTAGAGATCAAATTATATGCCTTTTTGGCTCATTTGATTTTTGAAAAAAGCTATGACACTGATTGAAACTTGGAAACAACCATGACTAATTGGTATCTCTTTTGTTTTACTTTTTGGACTAATCCGACTTCGTATTTAAATGAATATTGTTGCTCTTTCTGTCATTGGTTTGCTTCTGCTGGTATTGTTCTCGAGTTTCCTAGTTTTCTCCCTTCCTTTGATTTGACCTTTTTTTCCTCTTGGATTTTGGATGCGTGGAGAGATATGGCTAAAGAAGTGGAAACTATGAACCCGCCTTTCAAGAGTTCGATCATCATTTTTTTGTTTGTATAATTTTATTCATTGTGGTTTTGCAATATGTGATTTTCAAGTCGGTATCTGAGTCATGGTTTATATGGTAAAACTGAGGGGGAAGAGGAGTTTTGGAGCCAAGTATGGTATCTGATTCATGGTCTTGTTTTGTTTTGGTCAAGTTTTATATAGAGTTCTGCTGTACCCAGAGTAGTGAAAGTTTAATGCTTTGGAGGATGTTTGGCTAAGCAAACAAAGAGTAAAAGTTACTTAGCGACTTTTTGTTTCAAAAAATGTTTTGGTAGGTTACTTTTTCTTACCTTTTAAGTAAAAAAATTAGTTACTTATTTTAAGGTAACTCTTGCTTAATATCACAATTAAGTAACTTACTTATTTTCAATTTTGACCAATAAAAGAGTATTTATTTTCCAACTTACTTATTTACTAATAAGTTAACTCTTTAAGCTTACCTTAACGTGTTTATAATCTCATATTTTAAATAATTCATCAATGTTTTGATTGGTCTATCATCAGCAACGTGATATCGGCGTATTTATGTTATGTTTAGCCTGTACTTACTGCTGGTTTTTGTTTCTTCTTTAATGACAACAGCGGATTGCGTATTAGGTATCATGTTGCGTAAACAATTTTTTTTCCTTGTTTCCTTTTGTAATTTTTTGAGAATAGTTAAAACTTGGTGCGATGTGTACCTGTGAGAAAAAGGTTACAGGCCTACCTTTGCGTCTAATCTCTTGGAAAAAATAATTATTTGTTGCTGCCACTTTTGTTGACCATTTATACAAAATATATTTTTTAGGTAACAAACAAAAAAGTTTGGTATTAAAGAACTAAATTTTCATTTCATTGAGAATGAGATATCCACAATCTCTACTATACTAAAAGTCAAGGAGAGTGTACTTAATTCTAATTGAAAATTTGAAATAACTAGTGAAGAAGGAATACCCTCAGATCCCTTAAATGTAGAGGCCCGTATTGGTGCAGGAATTTTTGCCTTTTCCAATGATTCAAAAATATTTTTTTCCCCTTTAAAAGTCTTCAATTATTCCATCTATATCACCCAAAGAATAGGTATTACTACCGCATACCAAGTGACATGGTCTATTAATTGTATCCTTGTCAAGGTCACTTGAAATACTGATAAGTAAATTTCGATTATTTGACTTCCAAGTTTTAATCTATAGCTCAATCGGTGCTTATAATCATCTAAGTTAAATGTATAGTGCATAAGCATTCATTCATGAGCTATGTTGGCTTGGTTTCTTTTTTGTTTTAATAAAACAGTATCTATTGTTTGTCTGTTCACTTTTTCATTCATCATCCTGTACAATGTTGGATGTATTTTTATTCTAACTGGTATTATCGTCCATATTTTTCTCACTGGCTTTTACCTTTTGTTTTCAGAAAACCTGCTCAATTTGTTTGACATCAATGAGACGAGGAGATGGCCAAGCTATATTCACTGCCGAGTGTTCGCATTCCTTTCATTTCCATTGTATTGCTTCCAATGTGAAACATGGCAACCAAATTTGCCCTATTTGCAGAGCAAAGTGGAGAGAGATTCCCTTGCAAGGTCCGAGTCTGGATCCTCCCCATGGAAGGGCGCGAGTCAATCCGGTCGATTGGCCCCAAAACAATGGTTTGATGACAGTAGTCCGCCGAATACCACCTCGTTCAAATTCTAGTAGAAATGTTGCACCACTATTTCAGTCTCCTGAGCCGGCAATCTTTGATGATGACGAATTGTTGGATCATGAAATCGACTCCACTGAAAAAATCTCTTCAAAAAGTAGCCTTGGAGAATGTAATCAACAAAGAAAAGTTAAGATGAAGTCATTTACGGAAGTTCCAGCAGTCTCACAGTTGAACACTTCTGACAAGTTCACTGTCTTGATTAACCTAAAAGCTCCTACAGCAAACTCTTGGCAGAATCCCGGCAGAAACCAGGCTAATATACCCCAAATTTGTCAAAGACCTCGAGCTCCTGTTGATCTCGTTACTGTTCTTGACATTAGTGGAAGTATGGCAGGCACTAAACTTGCATTACTAAAACGAGCTATGGGTTTTGTGATACAGAATCTCGGTCCCAATGATAGGTTGTCAGTCATCGCCTTCTCTTCAACGGCCAGACGCCTCTTTTCCCTGCGTAGGATGTCTGAAACAGGACGGCAGCAAGCATTACTGGCTGTTAACTCTTTAGTTGCCAATGGAGGGACAAATATTGCTGAAGGTTTGAGAAAAGGAGTCAAAATAATGGAGGACCGGAGGGAAAAAAATCCAGTTGCCAGTATAATATTATTATCAGATGGGCAAGACACGTATACTGTCAGTAATATTAGTGGCAGCCAGAATCAACCAAATTACCAGTTGCTCCTACCTGTTTCTATGCACCCTGAAGATGGTTCAGGTTTTAAGATTCCGGTTCATGCATTTGGGTTTGGTGCCGATCATGATGCATCATCCATGCACTCAATTTCAGAGATTTCTGGGGGGACCTTTTCTTTCATTGAGACCGAAGGGGTGATCCAGGACGCATTTGCACAGTGCATTGGAGGCCTTTTGAGTGTTGTGGTGAAGGATCTGCAGGTTCATATCGAGTGTCTTCACCCAAGTGTTTATCTTGGTTCTTTAAAAGCAGGGAGTTACCCCAACCACGTCTTGTCAGATAGACGTACAGGATCTATTGATGTTGGAGATCTCTATGCAGATGAGGAGAGAGACTTCTTAGTTTCAATAAACGTCCCTGCTGCATATAGAAGCAATGAAACAATGTTGTTGAAGGTAAAATGTAATTACAATGATCCTTTGACAAAAGAAACGGTCACCTTGGAAGGTGAAGAAGTTAGAATCAAGAGACCTGTAGTGGCTAGACAAGATGAAGTGTCAATCGAAGTGGACAGGCAACAAAACAGGCTTCAAGCAGCAGAGGCAATGGCCCAAGCACGCACTGCAGCTGAAAATGGAGATCTGGCTCGTGCTGTTTCTATCCTCAACAATTGCCGAAAACTGTTGTCCGAAACTGTGTCGGCTAAATCTCATGACAGGCTGTGCATTGCACTTGAGGCCGAGCTCAAGGAAATGCAAGAGAGGATGGTGAGCAGACACGTGTACGAGGCTTCGGGAAGAGCATATATACTGTCGGGGCTGAGCTCACACTCATGGCAGAGAGCAACAGCAAGAGGTGATTCTACAGATGGTTCAAGCCTTGTTCAGGCCTATCAAACACCTTCGATGGTCGAGATGGTTACTCGTTCTCAGGCCACATTGTTAGGCAGTCCTTCAGCTCAAAGGCTCCTTCGACCAGTGTGGTCATTTTCATCTCGACCTAGGCCGAGGTGATGCTGCATTATGATGCATCTCCCGTTTTGGTTTCTTTCTTCCTTTATCATGATTGAGTTTCGTTTGGGGGTGGGGCCATTCGAGTAACGAATGAATATTTGTCTCTCGATATCGTTCCTCTCTAGTTATGTAAAGAAATAAACTCAGTAAGGTGTGCAATATAATTTGGGGAAGGCAAGGAAACACTAGCTAGGTTCACAACTAGTTTTTATCTCTTCTCGTTATTGGTGGGGGTGATGTAGATAGGAAAATATGGTTTTTGTCTTTTGAGAAATTGGGTACAAGTTTGTAAGTTTGAAGATACTTCTGGACAACTTTCCGTTCTTCATATAAGAAAATTGTATTGTATTATCCTGCATGTGTATGGTAATTTTGCAGTTCCCTGCCTAAATCCACCCCAAAATATACACAAAAACTAGTGTAGTCTTGTTTTTAGAAATCGATCTAGTTCAAAGATAGCATCATCAAGGAATGTTTAAAGAAAAGATTCTGCATTCAACAATGCAAATAGCCTCTGAAAAGCACGTTACATAAAGGTAAAGCCTCCGTTTGGCAAATTTATGGTTTATAAATAAGAATAGTAAAAGGAATAACGGTGAGTCTCAAAAAAAGTGAAGTGTGGATAATAATGAGGAATAATTATAAATTTGTGGTTGAAATAAAAATTTGATTTTGAATTAATTTATAAATTGTATTCAGACTAAAACTAAAAGAAAGACCATCTTTCTTTACAATATTGTAAAGCATGTGGGTGATTGCCAATTTGAATTCGGAGTTGACTTGAAATTTTTGAGGATGAAAGAGTAAAGCAGCTTCTCCTTTTGTTATTCTCTTTTGAAGGAAAAAGCTTGCACCAAAATCATTCATGGCTTTTGATTGTCTTTTCCATCCTTTTTTTCTGCATTTATCTTTACAACTTTTTGGTTTGCACTGCATCCACAGATTGGTGAACTGTTGAAAAGAAAGAATCTTATGAAGCTATACATCACTTTACCCTTGTATGTTTATTGGTGTGAAAAAAAGGGGAAATTTACAAATGGTTACATTTTTCAAATTTACATTTTATCCACTACGTTTTGCATAATGGTTAGAAGAAAGGGTGGTTATATTGCCACCACAATTTTTATTTAATACACCACATTTTAATTGTAACTAAGCTCCTTAATCTTTGTTCAATGTAGCAATTATTTTCTTAACTTTTTCTATCAAAATCTTATCTTCAACCTTCCATTACCTAGTACATTTCATCCTTAATGATGATTTATATCAAAATATTCTGTTCCCATGCTTTGAAATGAGGGAAAAATTATTTGTGTGCACACTTTATTTATTTATTTTTAAAAATATAATTAAAAAATAAATTGATTTACGTCATTTCAATGGACTTTTGGACATAAAATTGTTATCAAATACAAAATGTGTTAACTAATGAAAAGTTTGAGGACAAAAATCAAATGAAAAACCATTAGGGACATAATTATTATAATGAACAAAGATTAAGAACCTTGAATGTAATTAAAATATAATATAAGAAATAAAAATTGTGGTGTGAATATAATTACCTTACAAGAAACAGCATTTGATGATATATTTACCAAAATGTCATTATAAATAGTTAAAATTGACAAAAATACCCTTAACAAAATAACAAATTACACCATATATTGTATCATATAATGATTTTAATTCTTGATTTTTCATTAAATATTTTTTAAAGGATTTTTTTTTTAAATTTAAGATATATAAATTTTATTATATTCTTTTTTAAAGCTATAACATCAAATCATTCCAAAAATTTGTTATTTTTTTCTTACTACGTAGCTGCGGGAGCTTGTGATTTTCAACCTTGGCTAGTCGTTCGTTGCATTTTGAGCTTGGGGACAAAGGTAGAAATTTAAAGTGGGAGGCTTGATCTTCCAGCACACATTTTAGTCAATACGATCCACATTGTTAGCCCAGCATGTTAAGAAAATATATTATCATGATGATATATGATTTTGCTTTTGCTTTTCTCTCAAGGGTATTTTTACCCCGTTTTAAATATTTTTAAAATTACATCTTTTCATCAAGAATCAATGTTTTACACTTTTTTAAAAATATATATATATATCTCCTTACATTTAAATCAATATTTCAATTTTTCACTAAACACCAGTATTTTTACAAATTACATGTTGTGTAGCATATGTGATATTGCGTTACTTATATACACCCTGTTTGGCCCCCATTACCTGAAAATGGTAATGGGGAGAATAGTATTTTTTAGAAAAATGAGTGGTTGAAAAAGAAGGTAAAGTTTTCGATTTACGTGTAATATTATTTTATAGAAGATTGTATGGTTGAAAATAGGAGAGAGAAAAATGGAATGTAATGTAATTTAATTTAATGTTAATTAAACAGGGGCATAATATTACTAAAATGTTACAATTTTTTTTTAAAATAACATTTTAAGGGTAACATATGTGTTACTGTATTTTATTTTTTAATATTAAAAATCAATGCCTTATAAAAATCAAACCGGACCGATCGGTTCAACCTGAAAATCCATGATCCGGCTTTTAATCTGGTCCGATACTCGTACATTAATCGAAAACTAAAAACCTGCTAATAAACAATCAATCCGGCCAGTTCATCGTTAACCGGTAAACCGGCCACAATTTTTCTCGAGTGATTTAATTTTTTTTTCACAAAAACTTTTAACTATCTAAATGGGTCACCTGTTGCAATTGAAGCCCAAATAACTTTTTTATACAAGTTATTCTCCTTTACTTCATTTTTAAAGGAGATAACTCTTTAAATATTTTAGTAATCTTCCAATGTGGGATATTAGCTCCTTTTTAAATGAGACTTTTTTCAATGTTGTGATTATCTTCCAATGTGGGATAATAGTCGATTGTTAATTCTAACTTTCCAAGTGATTGCTAGTTTACTTCATTATTTTCATTAACAAATTATAAACCCCAACAAGATTATAATTTTTAATTTGAACAAAGCAAATTATTTTTGACTTATTATTTGTTAGTTTTTGAAGTTATAAAATAAATTATTATAATAAACCTAATTAACAAACATTGATTATATTTACTTTGAATGAGAAAACTAAAATTTAAAAATTTATTATAGTTGTGATATTTTATAGTTTATTTGTATATTTATTTATTTATTTAATTTGTTATCCAGTTCGATATCGGTTCGACCCTTTAAACCTCTACCCTCTTTCTTTTTCGGGTTGATGTCCATGTCGATTTTTAAAACATTACTGTAACACCTAATGAATACCTTTTATTACTGTTACATTATGATTATGGGTAACACATTATGTCATCCATACGGAACAACTCTATGCCAACCCCTCCCAATACCACCACCATAAAAAACGAGTAACACATTAAATTACTCACCTAACACCAATTTACACCACCATGTATCATCACTTATTCATCTAAACCACTTCTCATAGCTATCTACGACTACCACCACCATCAGAAATATGAGTAACATATATGTTACCCTTCTGAAACAACTTCACACCAGTGTATGCCACCAACCCTACCGAAAAACACGAACAACATATACGTTTACCATCTGAAAATAGTTACACCCTTACAAAAAACTACAATCATTCGGCCATCACCCAACCACCACAAAAACTTGCCATCACTCGACTACCAAAACCTTCACTATCACCACCACTTGGCCACCATCACCAAGGTCAACTCTTTAAAGTCATCATCTACTTTAATTTTTTCATACAAACACAATAATCAAGAGGATCTCTATACACAGTAATCTGACTTCTGATTGCAAAGATGGATTATTTCCACTCAACAATTAAAAAATTAAAACCTAATGACTCCTTGATAATCCAAAGCTAAAAAGAGGATGAATTCTGTTACTTGTACAAGTGCCGGATGCAATGTTGGTAGACTGCCAACACAGCGTTATTTGGGCACTGTCCAATGATAGGATGCATCGTACCAATTTTTCTATACATATAGCAGAGTTCAAAGAAGATTAATCCAATGCAAAAGATGGAAGACTACAACTGCTATTGGTGCGTGGAACCTCCATCACACAATCGATTGTGTATGCATGCAGAGAATATGGAATAAAACATGGGGATCATTCATCTTAGTAGAGTATTAGAAATAGACAAAAAGAAAAGCACGATACCAATATGCAAAGTGTTAAAGTTTGACTCAAATTCGATTAGATTTTATTGGGAAAATATTGTTTCCTTTATTCTACGCTTTTTTATACTATTTCCATCTTTAAGAATATTGTTAGGATTTGACATGTTCTCTATATATATAGTTGGCTCTTCTTTACAAGTTAGACATGTTATACAAGTTAGATAATTGTAATTACAATATTCTTTGTATTCTTTCTTCATTATTAATAAATTTTTCATTACTCTGTCAATTTTCTTGTGTTTTTTTTTTTTTTTTTTTTTTTTTTTTTTTTTTTTTTTTTTATTTCTTTGTATTCGTTCTTCATTATTAATAAGTTTTTCATTACTCTGTCAATCTAATTCGTTTGCTATTAACAAGTGGTATCGTTCAACATGTACATAATCCCTGTTAATTTTCCCAACGATTGGTATTAGAGCCAAGGTTCATTGTTATTCGCGAATTTTTGATTCTTTTTGGGGTGGCAACCTTGAAGTATACTATTCCGCTTCTAGATCGCAATACAATATTCTCATTGTGGTAGGTGAAAATATGAGTAGTGCTTGCTCAAACGGATTCGGACGATGACTTGTTGGGATTTGACAAGATGTCCTCAAATTGACCGTTGAAGAAGAAACAACGTAAAAGTCGGAAGAGCCTTTCACAATTCTATTTTCATTTTTCAAATCACATTCTGCAGGACGTCTTAAAGGACAATATCGCAGCTTTGTGTATAACTAAGAGTCTAACCAACAAATTGCACCTGAAACAATATTTATATTCTCATCGCATGATAGAAGATGAATTTTTGGAAGACCACCTAGCTATTTTTAAAGAAATCGTTTTTGATTTGGAGACTTTGGAGGTTAAGTATGGTTAAGAAGATTTGGCATTGATTTTATTGTGTTTGTTATCCGCTTCGTTTATATCATTTAGAAATATAATTTTATATAGTCATGATATTTTTATCATTGAAGATGTGTATGATGCATTGTATTCAAAAAAGAGGATGACGTATCTTGTTAGATTTGAGGCTCATGTAGTAGGCTTTGTTGTTCATGGTGGTTATGGAAGGGGCGGATTGAAGTTTAACTTAAGCAAGCAAGTTTGTAACTACTGCAAGAAGAGGGGACACATTAAGAAGGATTACTATAAGTTGAAGAATAAAGGAAACTTAAGTGCAAATCAG